AAAAAAAAAAAAAAAAAAAAAAAAAAAAAAAAAAAAAGAATGAAATCCTATCATTGGTGGCAACAAGCCTGTAAAGACATTATGTTAAGTGAAAAAAGTCAGACACAGAAAGATAAATACCACATGATTTCATTCACATGTGGGAGCTAAAAAAAAAAATAAGTTGAACTTTTAAAAGTAGAAAGTAGAATTGTGGCTAGAAAGGTGAGGGGGAGGAGGAGAGTAAAAGGTCGGTTAATGGACACAAAATTACAGCTAGACAGGAAAAATAAATGGTGTATAGCAAATGCTAGGCATTTATACTGATGGAGTTTGGATGTGTTGTCCCCTCCAAAACTCATGTGGAAATTTGATCTCCAATGTGGCAGTGTTGGAAACTGATTGAGTCATGGGGGCAGATCCCTCATGAATGGATTAATGCTCTCCCTGGGGGAGGGGGAGATAATGAGTGAGTTCTCGCTCTATTAGTTCCCGCGAGAGCTCGTTGCTTAAAAGACCTTGGCATCTTCTCTCTCTCTCTCTCTCTCTCTCTTGCTTCTTCTCGCTATGTGATCTGCTTGTACCCACCAGCTGCCTGCCACTTTCCGCCATGAGTAGAAGCAGCCTGAGGCCCACGCCAGATGCAGCTGTCCCAGAATTGTAAGGTATTTTTTTTATAGCAACACAAAACGGACTAAAACATATACCTAAAATAATTTATTGTATGTTCTCAAACAGCTAGAAGAGAGGAACTCAAATGTTCTCATCACAAAGAAACGATAAATTTTTGTGATGATGAATTTACCAACTACCCTAATTTGATCATTACACACTGGATACATGCATTAAAATATAACCCTGTACCTCATAAATATTTATAATCAATATATTTCAATTTTTAAAAATTAAAAACAAAAAAACAGGTATGGCTGTATTCTAATAAATTTTACAAGATTTAGAAAAACAGGGGAAAAAACCCTTTTCATCCTTGAGAGGTAATTTGACCTTTGGAATTCAAGATACTGATTCCCCATAAGCTAAGAAACAAGGCAAAATTTTCTATGCATACATTGAATTTTCAAAGTATCCAAGAAAAAAATACAGCCATTGAGCATCTTCTCTTCAACCCTCAATGTCTAATTTCTTTTTTTGTCTTTTCCTATCTGAGCAATTTCATGATTTTCACATATCCAAACCTTGGTCATTCATATCACTTAAAGAAGAATGACAGGAAAAAACAAGGATCTCTATTAAGAGAGTTAAAAATACTGGCATTTGAAATTGAAAGCAGGATGAAACTCAGGGAACCTAAGATCAGACACAGCTAGCGGAGGCTTTCCTTTTGTCTTAGGAGTCGAAGCCACACATACATTAACACTACGTGCTGCTATGGACAACACTGAAAAATAAACATGTGGACTCCAAAATCTTAGCATTTAAAGGGACCACATGTGCTCATTTTTAAAAATTTAATCTTTGAACACAATTGCTCAACACTTCTAGAACATTCCTAACAGATAATCACAGAGCCTTTGCTTTAATTACACTTCCTTATTACGGATCTCATTAGCTTAACAAAGCAACCATTCCACTTTGAAACAGTCCTAATTGCTGGGGAAAAAATTCAACCTTATCATGATCTGGGGTCTACTTTCGTTTCCACCCATGGGACTTAATCGTCTCTTCTGGAGAAAATGCCTGCTCTAGGACAGACCGTTTAGTCATCACATCTCTCCTTCATGTTCTCACTTCCATGCTGACCAGGGCCTTCAGTTACTTCTCACACACCTGCCTTTCACACCCTTCAGCCGTGGAAGGCCTGCTCCTGGACATGCTCCAGTATGTCAACCTTCCCCCTAACGTGGGCACCATGAACTCACTAACAACACTGTCCACACACATAACCAGTGTACAGAGGGGCTACTGCCGCCCTCATCCTGCATATCATACCACTTCTATTAAAGAAACCAGGTCACATCAGTGGCTCATACGGGGCTTTCAGTCAACTAAAACTCAAAGGGTGATTTTTATCCTCACACAAAAAATGCTATTACGTTGAGCACACCGCATTTAGTACTTGTGCAAAACTAAGCACAGGGATTTACATTTCCTCTTTACTGCTGTCGTCCTAGCCAAGGAGGACTTCTGAGTCTTGATTCTGTCAGCCAACAGCATGGGCAGCCTTGTAAGCTCTGCGTTACCTTCAGGTATGTATTAAAATCTTTAAACTTTTGTTCATGGGCAAATATGTTTCAAGGTATTCTGAGTAAAAGAGAACCCCAACTTTAAATGAATGAATGCAATAACCACGGTCTCGTGTCCCTATGTGAGTTCTCTACTTCTCCTTGGACTGTGTGTCATCAACTGTCTCCTCTCCTCTGAGTCATAAATACCATCCCTTCTTCTCCAATTATGTACAGTTCCTTAAAAAAACAAAACTTCCTCTTGACCTCATTACCATTTTATTTCATTCTTGGTCACCCCCCTACTTAAAAACTCTTCAGTAGCTTCCTAGAAGAAAAGTCAAATCCTTATGATCCAGCAATTCCACTGCCATATGATCCAGCAATTTCACTGCTGGGTATATAACCAAAGCAATGGAATCATCATGTTGAAGGGATACCTGCAATCCCATGTTTACTGTAGCTCTATTTACAATAGCCAAGAGGTTCCTAAACGTCCATAGTTGGATGATTGGATAAGGAAAATGGGATATATACACACAATGGAATACTACTCTGCCATAAAAAAGGAGATACTATAAAAGCTGCCATTTGCAACAACATGGATGAACTTAAAGAAAATCATGGTAAGTGAAATAAGCCAGGGACATAAAGAGAATTACCACATGTCCTCACTCATAAGTGAGAGCTAAAAAATAAACAAACAAATAAATAAAAGAAAGATACAACAATCACAATAATACATTGAACTTTTAAAAGGAGAGAACAGAACTGAGGTTACCAGAGGTGGGACTGGGATGAGGGGGTGGGTAAGGGAGGAACTGGTAAAAGGACATGAAAAATGATTATATTGTATAATGTTGAATACACTAATTATCCTGATCTGAGCATCACATATTGCACACAGGTATTGATATTCAACTCTGTACCCCACAGATATGTACAATCAACTATGTTTCAATAAAAAATAAAATTTTTAAAAAACAGAGATTCTGCATATGAATTTCTATTTTCCTTCCTTAAAAAAAAAAATCATTATGGTATTAAAGTATACATGAAGTAACTTGAATAGCCTATAATCTTACTGCAGCAGTCATCATCATTTAAGACACAAGCACCCAAAAAAAAAAAAAAAAAAAAAAAAAAAAAAACCCAAAAAACAAAAACAAACAAAAAAACCCTGAACTGAAAAATAGCTCATTTCTTGACTTTTTTCATCTGAAAAATAACAAATTATTATTAAATGTGAAAAAATTACCTTTAAAAATGCTGGAAGCAGCCTCCATTTTTCCTGTGAACCAAAATAGTAAGAATATCAGAACTCTGTGACAGCAACTACAATACTTTTATAAGATTTTAATGTACCAAGAGAAGCAAAAGAAAGTAAATTAAAACTAAATGAACAAATTTTAAATTGTAACTACTTTTATGGAAATCGTGTGTGTGTGTGTACATGCATATATGTATAAACATACGTACATTATACATACGCCACAGATTTCTTAAATAGAATATAATTTAATCTCTTTTTGATGACTCAAGATTTCAAGCACTTTTCAATCTTTTTTTATTCTCATGACATGCCTTGAGTAAGCAGGATCTGCCAATTTGAGAAAGTCTCAGAGAGCCTGGTGGGGGAGCCAGGTCTCACGATGCAAAGGGATTTGTCTTCCCCTCCCATCCTTTCTCAACTGGTGCCTGGTCAGAGCTCACCTCAGGGCTGCAGGACAGCAGCCTCCCATACTAAATAGCTGCAAACTCACCAAGGTCAAGGGTTCGGATCCCCATACTGGCCAGCCGCCAAAAAATAAAAATAAAAATAAAAAAACAGCTTTCAACTGCCACACTTCTCGAGTTCTTAACCATGTTTTTTACACCTTCCTGAGGTCGTAAGTGGTCTACCACGACAGCCTCTTTTCATGTATGTTATCTAATCTGCTAATGGGAAATCAGGCAAATCGCCAGAGCCAAGTCTACAGTTAGAATATATAGTTTCAGTCTCTGAGGAAGGACCTAAGGATCACATGGGTCTTTGCAGCAACTGTGAAAACTCTGGCTTTCACTCTGAGTGACCTGAGAAGCATTGGAAGGCTCTGAGCAAAAGAGTGACGTGATGATCTGATTCATTTTAACTAGAACACTCTGGCTGCTGGGTTGAGAACAGAAAAGGTTAGCAGCAGTAGGGAGATCATTTAGGAGTTTACTGCAATAATCCAACCTCGTAACAGTATGGGTAGTGAGAAGTTAGCCAGGAGATACAATTTGAAGTTAGAGGCAGCAGGACTTGAAAACAGATTAGATGGAGACTCTGAGAGAAAGAGGCATCGAAATTAGCATCAGGGTTTTTGGCAGGAGCAAATACAGGGACAGAGCTACCACTGATGGAGATGAGGTGGGGAACACTGTAGGCGCAGCAGGTTCAGGTGTGGAGGCGCTATCAGGAGTTTGGTTTGGGACACACGTTTGAGACAGCTACGAGCCATTCAGGAGGAAATGTCAAATAGTCAACAAATATGAATCGGCAACTTGGGAACAGAGTGGCCTGGAGATATAAATTAGGGAGAGGTTTGCAAATGGATGGCCATTAACACCATGTGATGGATGAGAGTGAGACCAAGAAGACTCCAACATTTAGAGATGGACAAAAGGTAGACCTAGCAAAGGAGACTGAGGAGTGAGCACGGAGGGAGGCAGACAACTTGGACATGGTGAAAAAAAAAAAAAAACAAAACATTTTCAAGAAGGGAGTCAGGCAAAACTAATCTATGATGATAGTAATCAAAAGGTGGGGGGCATGGATACCGAAAAGGGTCATAAGGGAAATTTCTGGGGTGATGGAAATGCTCTATAGTGTGTGTTGGGTGATAGTTATTCAGCTATACATAACTATAAAAGCTGACATGACCGAACACTTAATATCTATGTATTTAATATATATATATATAAATTAGACCTGAATTAAAAAAAAAAAAAGTAAAGAAAGAGGGGAATGACAACTGGTACAGGTTAAATTGTGTTCCTCCCAAAATTTGCATGCTGAAGCCCTAACGCCCAGTACCTCAGAATGTGAACTTATTTAGAAAATGAGTTGTTGAGGGCCGGCCCGGTGGCGCACTGGATAAGTGTGCCGCTTGGGAAGCTCGGCGGCGCTCCCGCCCGAGGGTTCGGATCCCACATACAGACTGGTTCCCGCTCACTGGCTGAGTGAGGCACGGGAGCAGCACCGAGGGTTGCGATCCCGTTGCCGGTCCCCGGTCCAGTACGGGGGCAACACTGAGGGTTGCGATCCGTTGCCGGACACGGAAAAAGATAAAAGACAAAAAAAAAAATAAAAAGAAAATGAGTTGTTGCAGAAATAATTACTTTAGTTAAGAACAGGTCATTAGGGTGGGCCTTGATCCAATATGACTGGTGCCCTTATAAAAAGGGGAAATTTGAACACAGAGACACACGCAGGGACAAAGCCATGTGAAGATGAAGGCAGAGATCAGGGTGATGCTTCTACAGCCAAGGACTGCCAGCAAACCATCAGAACCCAGTGGAGAGGCATGGAACAGATCCTCTCAGAAGGAACCAACTATGCTGCCACTTTAATCTTGGTCTACCATTCTCCAGAACTTTGAGAAAATAAATCTCTGTCGTTTAAGCTAGCCAGTTTGTGGCACTTTGTTACAGCAGCCCTATAAACTAATACAGTCCCTCAACTTCCTACTCCCACACCTTCAAATTTCTCTCTCTGCGCCCATTCTCATACCCATCCTCTCCCATCTCAAAGGAAGCAGTGTCATTCCTTGGTCTAAGGCTAACCCTTCTGCCACAACACATCTCCTCCAATCCTCTCAAGAAAAACAGTAATCTTGCCCCCATTTCAGGCCTCTCCACCCTTGGATATTCAACCTATTCTCTCTGTTGGCGCCCTCTTCAAGACCATTAAACTATTCAGATCTTTCTATTAAAAAAACAAAACAAAAAATGAACCCAAAACTTCCTTGACCCAGCAACTCCCTCTAGCTACTTTCTTCCCTGACCTTCACCTTCCTATGTCCCCCCAAATAGTCTATACTTAGCTTGTCTGTTCCTCACTTTCCACGCTTTCTTCATCCCAGCATAGTCAGGATTCTGACCCACCTGCCAGTGAAATGGCTTGACAAAGGTCAGGAAGGCTGCTGATCCCAAAGCCCTGCCCTCAGCTCTCCACTCACACATCCCTTCCACAGCACTGACCATGCTGGCCACTGCCCTCTGGTAACACTCCGTGACAACATTCTCTGCTGATGTCTTTCCTCTCCCTGACTGTGTCTTCTTGCTCTTCTTTTCCTCTGCCCACCTGGTAAATGTCAGTGTTCTTCAGAGTTCTATCCCAGGCCACATCTTTTCTCGTTCTCAAGTAGTGCTGGGCACGGAGGATTCAAACAACACCTGTTTAGCTTCCCCCATTTCGCCCCCAGTTCCAAATGTAAGCTCTTTCAAGGGCACTGACCTTGTCTGTGTCGTTTATCACAGTGCCTGGCACATAAAAGACCCCCAATAAATACTGAGTGAATAAATGAACTCAAGAGTGAATATCACTACCACAGTGAGCCACCAGGAATGGGCCTGTCCCCTCCAACTCCTGACTGGGCAGCAACACCTTAAGGACTGAGGCTACTCAAACTCAGTATATCCAAAATTAATCTTCCCTCAGCTCCACTCCCAGTCTCAGTGAACAGCACCATTCATCCAGTCAATCCCAGATTTGATACCCGGAAGCACTTCCCCTCTGACTTCTCTAATCAACGGGAAGACAGGTCCTACCAAGTCTACCTCCTTTTAACCTCCCTCACATTCATCCTCTGCTACTGTGTTAGGCCCACCGGGACTACCGCAGTATTTCCTTTCTAATCCCCCTGTTCGTCCCTTCAAGCCAGAGTTCACGTTCTCATGTGCACAGCTGATCATCTCAGTCTCTGCCTTACAGCTCTTCAGTGCCTCCGCACCCTCCTCAGGATGTCTAAACCCCACGGCAAGGCACACAAAGTCCTCTGTGCTCTCAACCCCGCCTACTCGTCCAGCCTCACCTCATATCCCACAGCACAGTGTGGACTCCTGCTCATGGTGCTCCATCTATTTGGAGCGCCCCCTTCCACCACACTTCATCCACATCCGTCAAGATGTTCAGGCATCACATCCCAGCTACCATTAGTAATACCAATATATCCTCTGCTTACTTGTATCACAGCACCTATGGCATGGTATTCTACCTGCTTACATGCCTCCCCCTATAAATCTGTAAGCTCCTGAAAGGCAGGGAACAAGTTTCACTACTGGGTAAGTACTCAATAATATCGATAAAATATTTGTTCAACAAATAAATAGTTACCTGGCTCCAACGCTTGTGTTATTTCTCCTACCATTCTGCCATGCTACCATACGGAGCACAGAAAAAATACACTAGGCAAGGCAGTTCAAGTAAAACTGAGCTCCCACCTAGCAAAAGTTACAGAGAAAACACTGAAGTTGGAAAGCCGGAGTAAATAAATACTTTAATCTTTCAATTAAAAAGAAATGCCATTTTTCATTCAGAGAAAACTCAGCACTATTAAAGAATTTCTCTGAGAGTACTGTTCAGATTAATCTTCATTAGTTCAACACTGAAATTAAAGTGTTTACCTCACAAAATCAAAAATGCAAAGACAATAGTCAGCAATATAAATGGCTGAAATGTCAGTCTCTGAGTCCCTGAATGCAATTCTAGACAACTCTGCTTTGGGAACAGCAATAAAGTTACTCGTCATACTCATTCACTCAACAAGAATGTTAAGAACTGAGGACACACCAGAGAATATGACAGTGAGAAGTCTGGTGGGAAGAAAAACAAGTACAAGATACCATGGCAGCAAGTAGCAAGGAGATCCAATGTTTTCTGGGAAAATCAGGGAAGGCTTTCCTAAGGAAATCATATCATAGATATTTAGAATTTAATTTACAAACAGAAATGAGAAAAAGATCCAGAAGGAACTGTATGCAGGGAGGTGGGGAACGGTGGGAAAAGAAGCTGGAGAAATAAGCAGTGGCCAGTCTGAGTAAGTATCCTATAAACATGGTAAGGGCTTTAGATTTTGCCTTAAGAACAATGGGCAGAAATTGAACAATTTTAACCAAGGGAGCAACATAACCTCATTTGTGTGTTTAAACTGATGGCTCTGGCTATTCTCTAACGGACTGGAGTGGGACAAGACAGGAGCTGGGTAGGCCAGTTAGGATGTAAGAATTGACATATGAGTTGTGTAACAGCAGGAATGAAGTCTCAGGTTTGCATGTTTAGAAGGCAGGAAGACACTTAAGATGTGATGATAGACTGAATGCGGAGGGCTGGGAAGAGGTACTGTTATGCCTCAATCAGAAAACTGGAATTGTGGAAGTGGTCCCTTCACAACTGTGCAAATTCAAACAAGAAATATAAATCTTCTATGTTTATTTCTTCAGCTTTCTGGAGAAGCGGTCCAGGCAGCAGTTAAGGATGAAGACTCTGGAGTCAGACTGAGAGTCCCAGTTCCAGATTGGCCATCTATCACCTTCTAACACTGCGCTAGTTACTTAACCTCTCTAGGCCTCTCTGGCAAAATGGGAGTAAAATTAGTACTTATTTCAGAGGATTAAATAACATAATGCCTGTTAAGGTTAAACAGATCCTGACACACAGTAAGTGCTTAGTAAATGCTGGCTCTTGATATTAACTCTACAAGGTTAAAAACCCAGTATTGCTTGATGATCATCAGCAGTGTATTACACGCACTCAAAGACCGAATCGGATGGATTAATTATAATTTGACTTCATTAAGACGCCAAATAATTATAAGGAGGTTCTTATAATCCAACAGATTCACCAATTACGTCACTCTCCTGCTTAAACCCTTTAAAAGCATCTCACTGCTCCCAGGAGAAAGTAAGTCCAAGCTCCTTCAGATTTCTAGCAAAGCCTTTAATAATCAGGACGCTTACATATCCTTCATCTTCTTTCTCTCCTCTATTTTTCTTCATTTTAATATTTAGTACTGCTGGATTTATGTTCCTCAAAAGCATCAGATGGTCCTGCCTAAGGGGCTTCAAGTATCCTGTTGCGTCTACCTGAAATCTCTCCTCTGACGATCCTCTCCAGACTCATTTCTCCACTTCCCCATTCCATGCCAATTAAGATTTTGAGGCTCAGAGAAATTATAATACGCGCCTTTGCCAAAAATGAAATGTCAACAGCTGTACTTCATGGGGCAGCTCCCTGCTGGGCCTTTCTCCTGAACTTCTGAGATTCTGATGAAAGCTACGGGGCTTCTCCGCAGAAAACACACGGCAAAGTGTTGAGCAAATATTCAGGCCGTTTAAAATATCCCTGCAGCCCACACTTGAACTCTGGGTTAAAAGTACACATTAGTAGCCTGGGATTCGGACGATGTGGTTTTACCAACACAGCCAGCTGTGGGACCTCATGAAAGTGGCCTGAGCTCCTGGACCTCAGTGTCCTCCTCTATAAGCCCGCGAAGACGCAATCCGTCCCCCAGTACGAGGGCCCTGCCTCTTCGACGCTCACTTATCCTGGAAGGGCTCCAACCGGAGAACCGTCCACGGGGCTTCTCGGCCCCGCAGCTCCTCTGGGCTCAGTCCTTTTTTTTTTTTTTTTTTTTTAAAAGATGACCGGTTGAGCGAACCGGCCATCCCTATATGGGATCCGAACCCGGGGCCTTGGTGTTATCAGCACCGCACTCTCCCGAGTGAGCCACGGGCCGGCCCATCAGTCCTTTTTTTTAAAAAAAAGATGACCCGTAAGGGGATCTTAACCCTTGACTTGGTGTTGTCAGGACCACGCTCACCCAGTGAGCAAACCGGCCATCCCTATATGGGATCCGAACTCGTGGCCTTGATGTTATCAGCACGGCACTCTCCCGAGTACGGGCTGGCCCTGGGCTCAGCCCTTTAAAGCGCACGCGGAGGCGGGCTCGGGAAAGGACCGGCAGGCGCGCGGGACTCTGAGCATGCGTGGGAGACCTGAGCATGCGCAGAAGCCGACAGCCCGACACCCCCACCCCACCCAGTTTTGCTGCATGAGCTCCCCAAGCAACGCCCCCTCAGGAGGCGTCCTGGCCCCTTCCGCTCCTTGCACTCACCTCTACAGTTGGTATCGGTGCAGCCAGCTGAGCCGGGGTCAGGTTTCCAAACTCCTCCGCTAGCACGTCCATACTGCTCACGACGAAGGAGGAAGCAGACAACCCCTGCACGCCTGCCTTCGCTGCTCCAGGCAGAGCGAAGAACGCCTGAAGAGCGGTGCGCCGAAGCCTAAACTGTCCCCACCGCGCATGTTCATTGGAGGCGCGACAGAAAGGTTCCGCCTACTCCCGGTCCGACCTGCGGTGGAACCCGGATGTGGCCGAGGCCAAGCCGGGAAACTGCGCCCCCTGCTGTAGCTCGGAGGTCTCGCGCGGGTAATCCTAACCCCCTGCCAACAGGTTTATTGCCAATTCCCGAGTAATTGAGACCAACAAAACATAGTGGTTGTAATTTTTAAAGTAAGAAGTATAAACGGATAATTTGCGCAACTTGAACCACCAAGGAGGTGAAATCATTTAATACAGTCCAAAACTATGCGTTGTATAGTATGGAAAAGAAGGAAACTTGCCAAATGCTTAGTAAAAGTTGATTGGTGAAATAAATGATGGTATGTGCGTGTGATGGAATAGTATACAGCCATCAAAATGACCGTAAAGTGGGGAGGAATTAACACTAGAGAGCAAGGCATAACCGGGCACTAATTAAGACAGTATTAAATTCTCAAGGTGCTAGATGGAAGATCTAGGAGTAAAGACCAGTCCACTGAGAAATTTACTATGAGAAGATGGCATTTAAATTAGTAGGGGAAAGATGGCCTGTTCAATAAATGATATTGGAACAGCCGATTAGCCATTTGGGAAAAAAATATATATCTAGGTAAATCCTACATGGTCTAAATATTTAAATGTTAAAATCTTAGAAGAATATGTAAATGAATATATTCATAACATTGAGGTGGTGAAGACCTTCAAGGAAACAGTTAGAAATCATAAAGGATTTAATAATTCTAAATATGGCTTTATGATTTTATGGAAAATTAAAAATTTTCTGAACAGATGTTTAAAAATCACCATGGAGTTTTTTAAAAACACAAGTTGGCAGAAGACAAAGGGTTGGTCTCCCTAATTTACAATGAGCTCTTACAAATCAATAGGGGGAAAATCCCATTGGAAAAAACAAGGCAAAAGATATCAACAGTTGTTTAAGGGGTGCAGAGTTTCAGTTTGGGAAAACACAAAAGTTCTGTAGATGGATGGTGGTGATGGTTGCACAATAATGTGAATATAAGTAACGCTGTTGACTTGTACATTGTTTTTTAAAAATTTTAACATTTACTTGTACATTTTTGTGGGTTACAATGTGTTGTTTCAATACATGCATATACTGCACAATGATTCACTTAGGGGAAATGGCATAGTTTTGTATCCATTGTCCACCAAGTGTCCTCCCCCCACCCCTCCCCCTCCTCTTCCCCTCCCC